ATAAATCAAAAAGAAAGCGGCAGCATCTGGTCGGGAAATACATGTAATAATTTTAAAATATCTGCCTTCATGCTTAAAACGCTTGAAATGAAAATTTGGGTGAAGATTATTTGAGCTATAAAAAATGGGGTTACAATAATAATAATAATAATAATAAACGATGCGTGTTAATAGCCGTTGGTTAATAACTTAACGTATAGGTAGTAAGTATTTTGTGTTTAGAAATATTAAAGTGATGAATATTGTAGAAATGTTAATATTGGTATTAGTTTTGGTTTAAATTATGAAATCAAATAACGATTATGCCGGTAAGTTGTCCATATGAGTTGAATTCCAATTGCATCTGTATTAGTAGGCTAACTGAAGGAACAAAAGTATACCGTGGAGAAGAATTCCAACTAGTGTTCCAGTTAGTTTGATACGGTTTATTTAGTTACGGGGAGATTTTCTCAACCTCATTTTTACTTGACCGTGATAGAATTTAGTAATACTACTAATACACATGAATGGTTATCAAAATAAAATTTAAATACATGAGTGATAATTATATGAATTTTGGACAGATAGCTAGGAACAAATCGTTAAACATGAGTGTATTCGTAAGAGACATGCTCTGGACTCAATGTTCTGATCTGCGATAGACTATTTATTTATATTTATACTTGCCGGCTGATGATGCATACAAGTTAGTTGCAAGTATGCAGGCAGAATACGATTTAATTGAGATATGGTGGTTATAAGTTATTGAAATCAGTTAAGCCTGTGTCACATTACTAGTGATGTGGTGCTGCAAGATGTATTCGGCTAAATAAGTTTTTACAAGATGATTAATAGTGAGTGATGCTCATGTGATTATCAGGGAGTACACTCCCAACTCATGTCTATGATAATGGCTTGAACCTTAGTCAGTGTTGGGGTAAATTCGACATTGATGTTTTCAGTTTGCAGGAGATTTGCTCGACTGCTTATACTGATTATTTGCATGCATGATTGTGTCGCTAAACCATCAATTAGACTGACAAGGTTTTGAGATATTTACTGAATGAGCAACTGATAGAGAAACATACTGTAATCATCTGTAGTGAATGAAGATAAAGAAAAACAACACTAGTGATAATTATAAGTCAATTTGCTGACCGATTTTGTTAATAGTTTCATTAATTTTATCAATCATATTACGTGATTGTCAAGTCATGACAATGCTTTATGACGATATCCTGAAACTATTATGTTTAACTAGTTATAGTGTTGATTGAGGATTAGTCAGTGGAAAAATAGGTATTGTTGCTTTAGGTGATTCGAAATTATCAGAAATTTATAACGTTAAAGAATCCGAGACGCCTAATTTAATTATAAATTTCAATTCAGAAATATTCGTTTAGTGTTAATTCTAGTAGGCTACGGAGTTTTGATTTTAAACGTTTGTTTAGCCAACAGCTACCTGAGGATTTAGTTATTTTACTAGTGCAGTTGATAGTACCTAAATTTTTAATCTTATTATCTAAACTATGTTCGCATTTTAGGCTGCTAATATGATAAACCAATCCATAAACCCAAATACGATTAGCAACAACGACTATGATGGGTTTATTGATAAATGTTAAAGGCGATTCAGATGATTTCTAAATTTAGAAGACATGAAGATATAGTGTAACGTATGTATGGGCCAGGTTAACATGCAGGTTGTTGACGTATATGACAATTTAAAAATAATGAACATGACCAGAAAATAATTTTAAAGTTAAGACTGCTTGTGAAACTTCAGGCAGGAATATGACGCGTTATAAACATTCCATAAGAAGTTACTGCATTTAGCCTAGGGACACTTACAAATATATGGCAAAAGCAACTAGAAAATATACATGTTAAGTACAAAAAATCATTAAGTAAAATAGTTGAACTCGCCTGGGTTATTTTTGAAAATTAGATTATTCAGTGGACGACATATATAACGCCATTCGTGAGTAGTAATGATCCAAAAGTATCCAGAATAAAACATGCAGTATGGCAATTAATCCCAGGGTGCTTGATGCTGTTGACGTTTTTGGGACTCGCTCTGATCAGAACAACTGAATGAATCCAGATAATTGTGTGTGCCATTGAATGAGCCATCTAAAATGAACTTATGATTGCAGAAAACTTATAGCTGAAACTCACCGTATGTTTTTGGAGAAATGTCATCCTTGTTGTTTGGCAATGGAACTCGAGAATATGAAATTAGGCAGGCAGTGGTCGGAAGAAAAGATATTACAGGATAGTGCATAGTTTAAAACAGGATGAGGTGTTAAGTGAAGGAACACTGAGAATTAGATCCAGATAACTATTTAGTCCTTGATTGCATTGTTAGTCAATGTATATTTACGCTATTTACAGGTCATATTTGCTAGAGCTTGATGTTTAAACAAGTCTATGTCGCTGAAGCATGTAAATGCTATTAAAGCTTGTTAACGAACCATCAAAGCTAATTAGTTGATATAGATGATCAACTTTTATTATCGATTGAGCTAGTAAGTTATGTGAACTAATAGATATAACATTACGATAATATATGTGACCATTAATCAAAGGACTATTAGAATAATGGGTTTACACAAATAAAAACCGATTGAGAAGGTTAAGGTGGAAATAAGGATTAACAATAATAGGTTGCGTTTCTTTAGTTGGGCTCACCAATGTAGAATTATGGTCTACTATGATATTAGTACTGCTCTAATAATAGACCTAATCCTAAATTTGTAGATTTGTCATGATATAACTGCCTAATCTATAAGATCTTACGTGGAAGTCACACCATCGACTACACCAACTCACTGTATCGTATCAATTACCAATACATGATGTAGAACAAGGTTAGGCTAGAGGAAGAACAATATATTTAATATGAATAGAAGATATAAGGTAACATTCAGCAGAGACCACGCCTGCATGGCCGAGCCATGCCACTCGATCAACTCCAGTTCATTCAATTCATTGTTCGCGCCTTCTCCATTGTTAGGTATTTCTCCGCGTTAAATATTGAATATCTATTTTCTGAGTAGTCTCGTGTTCACAGCTTTGTGGATTGTGTGGCTATTGTCCAATGCCACTACAAGTCCTTTGCAGAAGCACCTCTGGCTAAAAAACACCATAGAGTTTTGACACTCTAAAATTCAAAGTCTTCTGCTAGTTGTGATAGAAAGCCTCTAGAACCAACCTCACGCTGACAACTAAGAAGCTCATTTTCGTCCATTTTCACATTGAAACTTTCCATCTGATATTATTTTCCCCTTCGCTTCATAAGAACATGGATACTCTGGCACATACGTAAAGGCGATGCCTGAAATTTTCCCCCGACCGAAGCAGTTCGAGCAATCCCACTGTAGTCCTTCAAGAAGGAACTTGACATATTCTTGAGGACTTTGGATATCATTTCACCAGAGTTTGCCAATATTTCTCTTTACTTTACCAAGCAAATCTAGGTTCCAAACTAGAGGGCAGGTTGTCCTCTGAAACTAGATGCAGAAGTCCACCAAGCCAGAGCTTCTTCTCTTCCTTCCACAACCATTTGAACCATCTGAATCACTTGAACCACGTACGTACCCACGGCTTGCCGTCCCTCGAATACCTGTAATAAGTGCATTTTTTGTACACTTCCATTACCACTACCATCATTCTTACTATTGCCGGCCTAGCTATACTCACCTCACCATTTGTAACCTACGACTGTCTGTTATTCTTAGATTTCTTTCTGTTCACATTGCTTGCATAAACTGTCCATACATCACTCCAGACAGTTATTTTCCCCTTCCTCCTCGATATTCTGGATTCATCATCTTTTACTGTGCAATGTTTGCAACCAACTAATCTCCCGTCTGACAATATGATAGCTGTAGGTCCTAGCGATCCTACAGCCTTAGAACAAACACATTTATTTATAGGGGATGTGTCATTACCCGTAGTCCGGTCTCATAAGGACCTAGGGGTGACAGTGAGCAATGATCTTAAGACGACGGCCCATTGCCGGGAGGTCGCAGCCAAGGGGTTTCGAACCCTCTGGGCTTTAAAAAGGACATTCACTAAGCTTGATACTACCATGTTCACCACATTATACACATCCTTAGTGAGAAACTAAGTTAGAGAACTGTGTTCAGGCTGCAAGCCCCTGTTTCAAAGGTGACTCGGACATAATAGAAAAGGTACAGAGGGCAGCTACGCGTGCAATTCCGGAACTCCGGGGTTTATCATATAAAGAGCGGTTTGAAAAACTGAACCTCTTTACTCTGTCCTATCGCAGACTAAGGGGAGATCTAATAATGATGTACAGAATACTGAGAAATGATTTCGGACCTAACTTATTCTCTCTCTTTCTTCCCACTAGATTGGGACACCTCAGAGGACATAGCAGGCGAGTAGAAAAGCTAAGAACGAACAAAATACCCGTGGCATACAGGTTTTCACACCGAGTCATCAATACTTGGAACCTCATGCCTGAAGCAGTGGTGTCCGCACCTTCAATTGACTCTTTCAAGAGAAGACTGGACACTCACAGAAGCATACTAGAAAAGGAATAACATAGGCCGTAGGCTTTCTCTCCTTACTATACAAATCTGAATCTGAAAATCTGAATATGAACTTCCAAATAACAACAGAATTTACAGGAGCTAGTGAAATCGAATGTCGAGACTGACCATATTCGAAGTTAATTAGAACCATGCACAGTACCATAACATTTATTTACTCTTCGAAACAATCGTCTTCTTATGGCACATAAAATTTGATTTTATTAATCTTCAGATTGTAATTACCCAACCTCTTGCCTGGTAATATGATAGCTTCTGGTAACCAGAAACTCAGTGCTTTGAGACAAACGCACTTGAATTATGAGATGAATGGGCCTACAAACAACTGCTAAACCGACTAGAATTAGTTCAATTGAGTGGTTAGACTACTCTACCCATTGGACATTTTCAAACACCTAGCAATGTACAGACAAGAAACAAGCGCGTGACAAAGATATTGGATATTGGAAATGGGTCGTTTGTATGGTACGTTGCATCTTGCAAATTTAGTGCACTATTCTCCCTCACTGTATCTGAGGTTCATTAATTCTTTGGTCAATCCTAATGTAGGCTCAGTAATATCTTGCACTGGGTATTGTTTTCTCAGCTTAGTGAAGTAGCAGTGGTTTTTATTAATCGTGATTTGTAAAACTTCAGATCTTGTCTGTAGTATCCATTCCAGTTGGCGACAGTTAGCCTTAATTATATGGACGACTTTGGTCAATTCATAAATATCTTTGCAAGCTCACAACCACTCGTCCGGTTCAAAACCAGGTTAGGGATTACGATTAATAGTTAGCTAATCCTCGGGTCTGGTGACACTGGTAATGGTTTCCAAAGCTAAGGTGACACTAAATAAGCTATTTGTTAGCGAAAAGTGTTGGTTTACCTAGGTGTTCCCTTATATTCACATCTGTTGACGTTTAAGTTGCACAGATTATGAATTCCCAGTTTATGGAAAGATCACTTACGACAATATCGAATCTGCTATCTTTCCTACTGATTTTCTAGTCATGCTCTGAGAACTTATAAACAAAATGAAGTTTGGACTTGCAACTCATCATTAACAGATACTTCATGCCATTTTAGTAAAGGTCACTATCCGTCTTTATTATTACACTAAACTATGCTATCCCAAACAACCAAAAGGGGAAATAAAGCGAACGAAGGCGTAAATAAGGGGGAAATGTCGCTTTTTCGCATTTACGTCGGTTGTTTAGGGGAAATGTCGCTTTCCCCCTCTTACGTCGTGTATTTGGGGAAAATTTGTCGACAATTAGACGTTACGTACAGTGTTTGAATAAACCGCAATCAGAACTTAAGTTTTCATACACGTCGACAAATTAAGGCACCGCTTAATAAAAAAACAATTTTGTCATAAAAACAAGGTACAAAATACGAAACCAGGCATAGGCAGCTGGCTATGATTTTCATGACTTTTCATCTTCGTTTCCCCTCGTATCATTCACCTTTAAGGATTTAAATTAAATCCATAAAATATTACTAAGACATATGGAGTTTTGACTGAATACGAGTATGAACGGATCCATTAAAAATAACCGATTTCTGAAACACCAGAAATAGATAGAAATAGCATCAATTTAAAAAAAATAGTGAACCTTTTTACTAGTAATATTTTCGGAATTTTCATTAATTCAGAAAAAGGTATACTTCTCAATTCACATTAGTTTCTTACCATTATTCTCACAATTACCCTGGAGGAATTTTGCACAGTATATATTATTTTCATGTGACTTGTTATCAATAATATTGTGATTACCATTGTTGATACCACTTCAATTAACCTAACGCTATTCTGCATTATGTTCACGGGGTTCGTTGCATTATATTGACTATAAACCAACACCTTTTAGCCGATCTTCTTACCCTTTTTTAAAATGACTCATCAGACTTACAAATGACATTTTAGACATGCTTAAGTCGTGATCGATGTAAAAGTTCACCATTATAATGTAGAACATTATTTCATTCAGTCACAACTGATACGTACACGTTTTATTTCAACCACCGTGATATAGCATTTATAGATCTATAACTGTACAGTTTGACAAAATTATTGGAAACAACTATTACCTCAAACATTCTTTGTTTTCAATACTCCGTGGGGACTTTTGAACTCATACAAATTGTTAAAGTATGTTTCATTTGTGAATGGATCATGTATCGTGAATTATTCAACAGCTGTCGATTTTGATTGGTGTTCTCTGTTTTAATATCCCTCTGAACTATCAATTACGTTGTAACTTATCACTTGCAATTTTTATCATTTTATTTATAGAAGTATGCTTCAGAAACATTCAAATCCGCCTCTTGGTTTAGAACGGATTCATCGATATTTTTGTTACGTTTGTGGAACTCTTCTTCCACACAAGTTGGAAGTTCATGATTTATTAGTATGCCGAAAATGTAAAACATCTACGTGTATGCATTGGTTCAGTAATATGGATGCAACTTTCAATACTGAAGCTAAATCTGGCAAAATAAACCAATTTAATGATGATGCGTATGAATCCACATCTTTATTCTTTCCATCAATGATTAGAGGGGCTAAAAAGATCTTAAAATCAGAAATTGCTTTAAAGGAGGCTTTGGAGTCACAATTTGAAAACGGTACATCACAATCAACATTTGATGGACCAACTATTAGAAAAGAATGTGCTTATTGTGGCAATGATAGAATGACTTATGTTACACTACAAACTCGTTCAGCAGATGAAGGACAAACTGTAATATATACTTGTACCCAATGTTCTAAAAAAGAAATTGAAAATACTTGACTAAGTGTTTTGATTTTACCCATTAGTATTCATATTAGTTTAGTTTTGTCAGCTAAATCTTAAGGTTAGTACTTTTATCATGACCCACTAATAAGTTTAAAATACAAAGTTGAACACAAACACCTCTTGCTAAATAATTTATTATCAAACTGTACAACTGTTTTTTTTGCGAATGAAAATTTGAGGCTGTATTCCTTGAGGAAATCTAAGTACTGAATAAACACAATGTCATAAAAAAATAATCGTATTACTGGGCTATTAATTGTACGACAAGGTTGGATAACTCCTTCAGGATGTGTAACAGAAAAGTGGTATCAAACTAATAATTTAATATTAGACTATGTTATGGATGGATTAAGGTAGTTAAATGTGTCAGAGTGCTTAAATGAAATGATATTGGAAACAATTACAAGCGTAAATCGGAGAGTTGTAAAGACGTTTAAGCAGAGGGATTCATTTACAAACAAAAGGTATGTGAGAAAACAATAATGATGGTGATAATAGATAAGATAAAGATAGGATACACTTCTCTTGTAAACAATGGATAGCTAAAGCTAGTGTTTTACAGAGTTAACGATGAAATGCGCGTAGATTCATATGGATTATGTAAATAACCTCAAAATTAACTTGTTAGTTGAATGAACGCAGTCAATTAAATGTCCAAGGATAGGACAAGCTGCTTTCATCTCACTGTCGTAAAACTAGGCTGGAATAGGTTCTCGTATATATGCTGAAAGCGAGCTCTGTCTTTGGTTTATATGGTTTGTGTGATAAGAGTAGGTGAACCGGTAGATTCACACAGAGGTGACCAGGCAGGGGACCCTATCTCATAGGTACACAAAAAGTTTCTTGTTAATAAGATTTGATTGTAGTTTTACTGAGTAAATTGTTTTATCCCTGCCATCGAGTCGCTCGGTCATTAATTAAAATATTAAGATAAGATAAAATGCAATTAATTACACCGATATATTCATAGTATAGATCAGTCGGTTGAAAGTTGATACTTCTGGGGATATTGTATTCTCACTTGATGTTCTTTGTTCAACAGTGTATTTTTAACATAACTTATGTTAAATCTGTAATTAAGTTGAGTCACACACCAAAGATATTAGTTCGCTTACTATTTGGCTACATGGACTGTTATTACGTTGCATTTTGAGCTTTCAGTTTATTTTTGGTCTAGAAATCTGCAAATAAAAGGTCGAGATAATCTTAGATGCTTTTTTCACAGATTGCTTCAAAATTAAGTTTGAAAAACCCGGCATAATGTCATTAAGCGTGTCAACTACGGAAAACATAAAACTACCATATTTATAAATTTCCATGAAGAAGTTGGCCTGATTAACGGTCAACATCCTTTCAATGCTTGTAAACCACGATAGGGAATTAGGTCTACCTAACTTATCCACAAATATCGTGGAAGTTGCTCAAACTTACATTGTTATCCTTTACAATAAATTATAATATTAAAGTTTTATTTTTGTTATATCATCTTGTTCATCATAAAATGAAGTCTCAATTTCATGTAAATACGGTTGTGCCCCCAAATGGCCGAGAGTGGGGAGGGTCCGCTCACCCTCTCGAAATGCTTTCATGTGGCCACGCGTATATAGCCTCTGCCAGGAAAGTCCTACTCACTGCCTTCTCGTGGCGGGGGTGTTGTTTACGAAATTGAGAGGGCAGAAAGTGAATGTCCGGCACTTTAACCGGGTTGGTGGATATGGAGGATCGACATAGAGGAGTTAGTTAGGAAACCCTGATTCCAAACCAGTGGTGCACATGGGCTCAAGTATCTTGATGGAACAAACGGTGTATGAACCAATTGTTGGTCACCGGCTACCATGGGACTGCATCGCCTTACGATGTCCCACTGCCTTGTGGATCAGATCTTTAGGTCGAGGGTTCCAGATGTGGCCCCCTAAGAAAACCACCTGCTTCGGTTTGGTCACCCGAGCAGTATTACAGGTCTCACAAATATCAAATGAGATTTGTGTGGTGCATATGTATTTGGTACCTCCTTGTATCAATATCTTTATGTTAAAATAAATAAATACGGTTGTACAGCTTGATAATAAGTTATTTGTTTCATTTCGTACTTTTCTAATGTACGTATGAGTTTGATAATTCCTCGTAAAATACTCTTCACCACACTTATGATTACTGTCATTGGGACGCAACCCTAAATGAATCCAAACACGTGAAACCCTTCAGTAAATTAGTATATAGAGCAGAGTTCGAGTGTTTTTATATTCTTAAGTATTCATACCCAATTTCTAACTAGTGAACTGTTAATCAAAGATATCACGCTGTGTCCGAGAAACTATGTCAGTCCCGTGACCTGCTATGACGAGCTGAGCATCGGAAAAGTTGTAACTTTTGGAACTATCTTTCGGATTATCATTATTTATATTTTTAGTGTATAGTTAGCTAATAGATACTCGTATCATTGTATTTATATATGATCACTGTAAGCTTCCAGTTGACCCATTAATTGTCTTTAGATGTTTTACTATCCTTTAATTATTGGTAACTAATTGTGTACTGTTCTCTTCACTCCCTACCACATCCGGCCTAATTGTATTTGAAGTATGATTTATTATTTGGTGTTCTGTACGGTCTAATCTGTGTATATAAGTTAATAGGTGTTTGAGGTAGTTGTTGGCTGAGCTGGGTAATTGAAATATAGCTATAGTAGGACCCGGCTGCTAACTTCCCTTCGGACTCAATGCAAAGGACAGAAAAAAGGCTTTTGGATAACAAATCAATAAAAGTGTAGCTTGAAATGGCTCAAGGTTAACTGTGCAGATCAAAACGTATAGTTGGTCAGCTCTCGGATTTTAATCAGAATAGTAGACTAGAGAGAGAAAAATATATATTGTAATCAGGATTTTGACTGGTAACTTTAGCACATGATACCGATTAGTGTCTCAAGTCATGACAAAATTGCTGACGGGAATTTCGAGCAGAGAGAGAGAGAAAAGAAATAGTAGCAATAGATTAAATTTCTGATATTGGGCACCAAGGAATCTTAGTTAATGAAGCAGTAAGAAGGAGAATAATCCTGCATTCAGTAGATAGCTTCAATAAATAAAGAGATTTGAAACGATTATTTTGAATTCGCTTCAGTTCTATGAGAATTTAAGAAAAGTTCAGCAGAAGAAAGTGATCTCTATTACCGCAGAGAGGATGCATATATTGTTACAGAAGTAAGATATATATATATATATATATATATATATATATATATATATATATATATGATAGATTTCTGCTTATACGCCTTTGGGAGTTATTTATTTACCTAAATACATAAAAATTGGTACAAAAGAGCACCGAATATATATACGCAACACACAAGTCACTTGATATAATTTACGGGTGCCCAGACTGTAGCAGGTGATTTTCTTAGGGAGCCACACCCGGAGCCTTCAACCTGAAGTTCTGATCCACAAGACAGTGGAGCAACGTTAGGGGATGCAGTCCAACGGTAACCGTTCACCAATAATAGGTTCATACACTATTTGTCCCTTCAGGATCCTGGAGCTCATATGCACCATTCGTTTGGAATCAGGGTTTCCTAACTAACTCCTCTATGTTGATCCTCCATATCCACCAAACCGGTTAAAGTGCCAGATATTCACTTATCGTCCTTTCAATTTCGTAAACGAAACCCTCAACGCGTTAAGGTAATGAGTAGGACTTCCCTGACAGTGACTGTATACGAGTGATCATGTGAAAGCATTTCGAGAGGAGAGCTGACTCTCCCCACCCTCGATTGTACCAGGGGTATTCGGGTACTGATAGTTCCATACCTAACTGTAACTCATAAACTAAAAATTGATATATAAAATGGTATAATAATTAAAATGTATTTCATAATTTATGAAAACCAAGTAAGAAAAAACAAAATTCCTATACAAATTGAATAGAATTAAACAAATATTTTCCTTTCATAAATAAACAAACATGGATGAATATTAATATGAATTATATTCCAAAAATACCAGCTTGGATAAAACTGTATCCCCCCATGGAAACAATCAATTTGAAGAATTTGTTTGAAAGATGACAATTCCCGATTGATTATTTCTATTGATAGTTCTGATATAATATGTGTAAAATTTGAAGAGTTTAATACATTAAAATTAGTTTCTAAACCTTCTGTTTTATTGTAACTAAAGAAAAAAAAGGAATAGATTCAATGAATAGAAAGTGTTATATCCAAGCGAAGCTTAAATTACAAGTAACTTCTGAGACATTATATTTTTGATGGAAATCATGAGTGAATTGAAGCTAGACTATCATGGAAAAACCTGAAAGCACTGGATGGCCGTTTCATCCTAGTATGGGACTACTCGACAGTGCGCATCCACGATCCCACACCCGCGAAATTTGAACCCAGGACCTGTCAGTCTCGCGCCAGGCGATTAACCAACTAGACCACTATATATTTATATTCCTCTTGTTATAAGCTTTATTTTGACCTATATATTATTATTGTACGATTTACGGTTCTTAAGCTATGTTCAGTTTATTACCTACTGCCTCCCACGTTCACAGCCACATTTTGGCTTTATTGTGTACAAATATTATTTCCTATTTTATAGTACGTTGCGATCTGTTTGATTGATATATAAACCCAGTATGTCTGAAATAAATGATTCGATTCGATTCGCATATTGGAAGCTGGTATTTGGTGTTCTGGACTCAAGTGGACGGGCTGGACGGACATGGGATCAATAAGGACACTAGGCTGCTCATACCGGTCGAACGTCATTGGTTTGGCACAGTGCGAAGTTTGTATAAGTCGTATTTTGGTTGGTGGATAAATCACGTGATAAAAAGCCGGACATAAAGTCATAACAAAAAGGAGATGTGATTTAGAATAATAAGATTAATATGATAAAATTTATCTTATTCTATTGCATTCTAAACAGTACTCATCATTATAGAATGATAAACCAATAGAGTAAGTTACTTATTTTGTTGAAAGTCATAGA